TCTGCATCATCAGCAGCAGCATCATCAGCATCACCATCAGCATCATCAACATCATCAGATTCCTCATCATCCTCAGTATCACCATCATCGGCATCAGCATCATTAGCCGCAGCAGCATTATCGTCGCAATCATCATCATCATCGTCATCATCATCATCATCATCATCATCATCATCATCATCGGCACCATCAGCATCATGATCATCGTCTTCACCATCATCATCACCATGACCATCCTCATCATCATCATCATCAGAAGCAGCACCATCATCATAATCAGCAGCAGCATCGTCGTCATGCTCGTCGTCGTCATCGTCATCGCGATCGCTTTCATCGTCATCATCATCACCATCATCAGCAACAGCATCAGCAATATAATCGTAATGATCATCGTCAGCATCGCCAATACCATCTATCAGTAGCATTATCGTCATCATCATCATCAGCATCGTCATCGTCATCGTCATCATCCTCATCGTCGTCGTCCGAATCATCATCAGCAGCATCACCATCAGCATCCTAATACCAACATCATCATCATCATCATCATCATCATCATCATCATCATCATCATCATCATCATCATCGTAGTCGTCATCAGCAGCAGCATCATCACCATCGTCATCGTCATCGTCATCGTCATCTGCGTCGTCATCACCACCATCACCATCCTCAGAATCGTCATCATCCTTACCACCATCTTATCACCATCATCATGACCATCACCACCATCATCATCTGTCACCATCATCACCATCATCACCCATCACCATCATGCCCACCACCACTACCACCACCATCGCCACCACCACCACCACGATCGCCTCCTTCCCCCTCCAACCCCCGAGATGCGCACCCTGGCGCGCTCCTCAGCACCTCTGCGTGCGGCGCTGGCTCATCTCTGCCACCGCCACCCCCCGCGACGGCCGCGCCGCGCCTGGCCAGTCCTCGTCCGCCAGCGAGCCCCCGTCGTCCGAGACAGGCTCCCCGGCGCCGCCCGCGCCCCGGCTGGGCGGCGCCCGGGCACGCCCGCCCACGCTGCCGTCGGAGGCGTAGCCGCCGCCAGCGCTGGCGCCCGGCCACGCGGCGGCCGGCGACGGCCCAGACCTCGGAGGAGGAGAAGGAACCGATATGCCGCTGGCCGCGAGAGGCCTTCGATGAGCCCCCACTGGTTTGTGCCGCGGACTTATGGACGAATTGGGACCTCGACAACAGATGAACAGAAGTATTTCACCGCGGCGGCCACCGCTGAGGATCGAAGTGGGGGTCAAGGATCCCTGATAATGATGATGATGCTGCTGATGATGATGCTACTGACGATGACAATGACGACGACGACGACGACGATGATGATGATGATGATGGTGATGATGATGATGATGATGGTGGTGATGATGATGGTGATGATGATGATGCTGGAGATGCTGATGATGATAATGTTGAATATGGATATGCTGTTGATGCTGATGTTGTTGTTCATGATGATGTTGATGGTGATGCTGCTTGTAGCCACAGTGATAAAGATCATGATGATGAGAATGATAGTAGTGATGATGATGATCATCATGCTAACGAGGATAGTGATGATGACGATGACGATGACGATGACGATGACGATGACGATGACGATGACGATGACGATGATGACGATGATGATGATGATGATGATGATGATGATAATAATGATGATGATGATGATGATGATGATGATGATGATGATGATGATGATGATGATGATAAGGAGGAGGAGGGGAAGGAGGAGGAGGAGGAGGAGGAGGAGGCGGAAGAGGGGAAGGACCAGTTTCACTGCCAGCCCAGAGCTAAGAGGGGGGAGGGGGAGGGCATCATTGCAGAACTCCTGCGGTTCCCTGCCCCCCATTTTCAAGCTTTTCGGCCTCCTGGGTACCCTCGTCGGCACCGCTGGATTCGCCTCGAAATCCTCGTCAGAACGCACCCGGGGAAGGTCCGGGGAGTAGCGGTGTCGGCACTTGCTCTCCCCAAGACCACTGCCCGGTCGGTGAGGCGCCCGGCGAGGGCCCGGACCACTGCCCGGCTGGCGAGGGCAGGTTGAGCCTCGCGGCGGGCCTCGAGCCCAGCGGCGCGCCGCCGGCATCGGGCCAGGCCGCGGGGGCGGGCTCCTGGGACGGCGAGCCGTGGTCCAGCCACAGCGGTGAGGCGTACTCCGGCCCCGTGCCCCCCAGGACTTCGGATCCCACGTCCAGCTCCACGCGGGCCTCCTCGCCCTCGGCCCGCTGGCGATCTTCAGAGCCAAGACTGGCCTCGAAGACTGCAGGGCTCTGCAGCGCTGGGTGCTGCAGAAAGTCGAAGAGGGAAAAATCGAACTGGAAGACTTGGACGCTGGGGTCGCTCCATGGTGCAAGGCTCGGCGTCGCCTTTGGCGGGCTGAGCGGCACAACAGTCTCGTGCTCTGAGCCGACCACGTCTCCCTCCCCCAGCCGACGAGGATGTCGGTCTCGGCCGTCGCCTTCGCCAGCGTTGCTCTCGCTGGGCGAAGCCTGCTGGGCGCCGCGCCGCGCTAGTTGGACACGGCCGCCTGGTGGTCGGTCTCTGCCGTCGCCTTCGCCAGGGTTGCCCTCGTTTGGAGAGGAACCCTGCTGGGCACTGCGACGCGCTAGCTGGACACGGCCGCCTGGTAGCCGGTCTCGGCCATCGCCTTCGCCAGCGCTGCTCTCGCTGAGGGAGGAAGCCTGCTGGGAACCGCGCCGGGCTGGCGGAACGCGGCCGCCTGACGGCGCAGCTCCCGACGCCGCCGCACGCACGAGTGCGTCGACACCCTCATCTCGAGGCTCTGGCGGGAGCCGACGCAGGCCGAGCGGCCCTGCCCGAGGGGCCTCTGCCCAGGCAGGCTCCGCGGCCGGCTCCGCGGCTGGCTCCACGGCCGGCTCCGCGGCGGGCTCCGCGCTCTCCTCCTGGGCGCCCGCGCTGCTCTCCGCCTCCAGCGCGGTGCCGACCGCCACTGCGTCGGCGCGCGGGCGCTCTGGCCGCGCGCGCTCCGGGCGCGGCCGGCCCTCTGAGCGCGCGCGCGGCTCCCGGGGGCCCTCCGCCTGGGAGCGCTGCGCCGCCAGCTGCGCGCGGGCCTCGTCCAGCTCGCTCCGCAGGGCGCCCGCGTCCGCCTCGAGCGCCGCGGCGCGCAGCGCCTCGAGGCGAGCCTCGGCCTGCGAGGCGTCGCGCGCCCGCGAGGCGGCCCGCAGCTGCTCGCGGCAGCTGGCGCACTCGGCCAGCGCGCCCTCGCGCGCGGCGAGGGCCGCCGACGCCTTCTCCTGCGCCGCCTCGGCGGCCCGGCGCTCGCTGAGTTCCTCCCTCGTGGCCGCATCCCTCGCCCTGCCCGCCGCCGCGCTCTCGGCGCTGCTGGTGGCCAGCTGCCGCTGCAGCGCGAGCAGCTCGGCCCGCGCCCTCTCGCCCTCGAGCCGGGCCTCCACGAGCTCGGCGCGCAGGTGGTCGTGCAGGCGCGACTCCCGGAGCAGGCCGTCGCTCAGCCCGTGCAGCTTCTCGGCGGCGCCGTCGTCCACCTCCGTGGACGGCTGTGCGGGAGCCTGCAGCTTGGGCCGCGGCCCAGCACCGCAGCCACATCCCATGGTAAGAGAGAGGGAGGGGGAGAAAAGCGAGCGGCGGGCAGAGGGGGCAGATGAGCGCCTTGAGCATGAAAAGACTCCTGAGACAGGAACCGATACGATCGCGCTCGCACACATCCGCACGCACACGCGGGCAACCGCAAACACGAGATCGAAAACGCACGCACATACATACGTACAGACACACGCACAGATGCAAGCAAGCACGCAAGCACGCACGCAAACACACACACACACACACACACACACACACATACATACACATCCTTACACTAACACACACACACAAAGAAAAAACAAACACACCACACACACACACAAACACACACACAAACAAACAAACAAACAAACAAACAAACAAACAAACAAACAAACACACACACACACACACACACACACAGCACAGCACAGCACAGCACAGCACAGCACAGCACAGCACAGCACAGCACAGAACCCCTCTTCCGTCCGCCCTCCGTCAGCTGCAAGGTCCTTGACCCTCCAGCCAGTGAAGATGATCTCGACGTCGGAATCCGGGCCTCCACACGGTGAGGGCCAGCGTTGCAACAGGGGGGCAGCAGCAGCAGCAACAGTAACAGCAGCAGCAGACTTCTCACCATCCTCCTCCTCATCCTCCTCCGCCTCCTCCTCCTCCTACTCCTCCTCCTCCTCCTCCTCCTCCTCCTCCTCGTCCTCCTCCTCCTCCTCCTCCGCCTGCTCCTCTTCCGCCTCCTCCTCCTCCCTCTTTCTCCTCCTCCTCCTCCTTCTCCTCCTCCTCCTTCTCCTACTCCTCTTCCTTTTGCTCGTCCTTGTCCTCTTCCTCCTTCTCCTCCTCCTCCTCCTCCTCCTCCTTCTCCTCCTCATCCTCCTCTTCCTCCTCCTCCTCATCCTCCTCATCCCCCTCCTATTCCTCCTCTTCTTGCTGTTCCTTGTCATGCTCTTCCTCGTCCTACTACTCCTCCCTGTTACGCTGCATGGACTGCGATCGTATGATCGCAGCGTGTATCCTCCCCTTCCTGCCCCTGGAGGGACACCTCGGCGCTGCGCGGCGCATCGGGGCCCTCGGGGAACTACCCTCCGAGAACCCCCCCGCCAAGGGGCAGCCCTGGCCCAAAGGCGGCAGGGGCAGCTTCTCCGTCAAGGGCCGAAAGGACGGCAGGGCTGCACGGAGGCGGTGGCCATCCGTCGTCTTTTGCTCCCCCCTCGACTACACGCAAGAGTGGCCCTAGGCGAGGGTGCCCCTTGGTGCGCGGCTTCAGGGGACCGCTGGGGTGAGGGGGGGGGGCGGGGAAGGGGGGGGGAGGCAGACCCAAGCGCGCACGCCAGCCGACGCCAGGGGACCCTGGTGGGCCCGCACCAGAGGTCACCTCCGCGAAAGGCCACTCTTACGCGTAGCCGACGCCCTCCCTCCTCCTCCTCCTCCTCCTCCTCCTCCTCCTCCTCCTCCTCCTCCTCCTCCTCCTCCTCCTCCTCCTCCTCTGCTCCTCCTCCTCCTCCTACCCTCCCTGCGTCTCTCCCTGCCTCCGTCCTCAATCTTCCCCTCCGACGACTTCACCGCCAACACATACACCACTCCGACAACGACGGCGAAGACGACGGCGACGGCGACGGCGACGGCGACGACGACGACGACGCCGACGCCGACGACGCCGGCTGCCACGGCGACGGCGACGAGAAGCGAGGGCGACGGCGGCGTTGACGACGGCGACACGGGCCGCCTGGTCTCGTGCCCCCCGCTTTGCCCTTCGTCAGGACCTCGTACGCCATGCCGTTGGCCTCTCTGTTCCTGGCGCGTCCGCGAGCAGCGTCACCCTCGTCTGCCAGCCACCCCGGCCGCTCTGCGAACGTCGCTCGCCTTCGCCTCCGCCTCCGCCTCCGCCTCCTCCTCCTCCTCCTCCTCCTCCTCCTCCTCCTCCTCCTCTTCCTCCTCCTCCTCCTCATTGTTATTCTCCCCCACCCCTGCTAGCGAGATCCTCAGGACCTCCTCAGAGGTCCTCCTCCTCCTCCTCGTCTTCCTCCTCCTCCTCGTCTTCCTCCTCGTCTTCCTCTAAATCCTCCTCCCCCCGCTTCTCTTCCGCCACCCCCTCCTCCATCTCCTCTTCTCACGTATGAGAATTCTTCCGTGTCGCATCCCCAGACGTGTCGACGGAGCGGGCATGGCGTTTCGCTTGAGACTTCATGACCATGCATGACCCTGAAACCTGAACCTCGCAGCAGATTTAATGATGGATAGGTGTGGTTTTCAATATGCGGCTCTCGCCTTGGCTCGGTGCACGTTCATTGCAAAAGTAAGCAACAGAGTCAATGTGCAAGCCCTGCACCGCGCGCTGTCGTTTTTCAAACCAGCATTGGCAGCATTGAGGACTGCTCGATTTGATCACGGGTCCTCAATCCAGACACTGATAACACAAAAGACCCGAAACTCCAACACATGTAGCACTGCACGGAGATAGGGCAGTTCTTGTTTCAAACTCGTGTTATCGCGTAAGGCGTCTTCGAAGCTCTTGGCCACAAGTGCAAACTTGTGAACAGTTCCACGGACGAGGGACGGTGTTCTTGAAACTAAGATATATCTGGACACCTCACTGGCATGTATGATCGTAGCTGTTCGCCTTCCTGGCTACGCGCCAGGAGGATACGAGGCAGAGCTCTTGCAAAGCGAGGCCAAAGCCAAACTAGCAGGCCCAACTGCGGTGCTCTTGAAAAAGGAGGGCGCTGCTGGTCGTGGAAGCTGCAGCATGCAGGAAAGCATGAGCACGAGATGTCGGGACGAAAGGTTACATTACGGCATCGTTGACACACGCTGGGTTTACTCTGGAGCTCCTCCTCCTCCTCCTTCACCTCCCCACTCTCGTGCTCCCTCCACCGTCTCCGACCTCCTCCTTCTCCTCCCGATTACTCGTCGTCGTCCTCGTCGTCTGCCGCCTTCATCATAAACATCATCATCATCATCATCATCATCATCATCATCATCATCATCATCATCATCATCATCATCATCAGCAGCACCATCGTCGTCGTCATCGTCCCCGCCGCCGCCGCCATCCTCGTCATCATCATTATCATCATCATCATCATCATCATCATCATCATCATCATCATCATCATCATCATCACCACCACCTTCACCACCACCGCCACCGTCACCAGCAACAGCACAAGCACAATCATCATCACCGTCATCATCATCATCATCATCATCATCATCATCATCATCGTCATCATCATCAGCAGCATCATCATCATCATCACCACTACCATCATCATCGTCACCAGCAGCAACATCATCATGGCCATCATCATCATCACCGTCACCAGCATAGCCATCGTCAGCATCATCAGCATAATCATCATCAGCATCAGCAACATCATCATCAGCAGCATCATAATCAGCAGCCTCACGTGCACCATCAACACTATCACCACCATCAGTATAATCATCGTCAGCGTTATCATCATCATCAGCATCACCACCACCATCATCAACATAATCATCATCATCGCCAGCATCATCATCCTAGTCATGGGAAGTCTGATATCCATGATCAGCATCACCATCATCAGCATCAGCAGCATCAGCATCAGCATCGTCATCAGCATAAGCGTCATCATCATCACATTCAGCATCAGCATTAGCGTCAGCATCAGCAGCATCGTCATCATCGTTATCAGCACCATCATCATCATCAGCAGCATCATCATCGTCATCGTCCTCAGCATCATCGTCATCAGCATGAACATCAGCATCATCATCAGCAGCATCACTAATACCATCATCATCATCATCAGCAGCATCACTATTATTATCGTAATCGTGATCACCCACCTCTCCATCGCCACAACCATCATCGGCATCAGTATCATCATCATCGTCGTTATCGTCATTGTCATCGCCATCGTCATCATCTTCATCGTCGTCATGATCGTCATCGGATTGGTGGTATCTCCCCCCCCCCATCCTGGCAAAACTCCGAGTCGGGCAACGGCGGTTCCTCCTCCTCCTCCTCCTCCTCCTCCTCCTCCTCCTCCTCCTCCTCCTCCTCCCCCTCCGCCTCCTCCTCCTCCTCCTCCTCCTCCTCCTCCTCCTCCTCCTCCTCCTCCTCCTCCTCCGCCTCCGCCTCCTCCTCCTCCCATGTGACCTTGGTGACCTGCGGCGCGCCCGGTCATTCGATGTGCAGCCGACGCGCAACGACACAAAGTTCCAGGAGCGGCTTGCAGGCTGGGCCCAGTCGAGGACAGGGGCGAGGAAACCGGACGCAAGCGGAGGCAGCAGCCAGGAAGAGAGGGAAGAACGAGGGAATGACTGGCCCAGCCTGGAACTCGTTCAGGGCAGCAAGCCCCGAAGGAGCTTCGACCTCTCGGGGCTCTTGGGGGAACCTGACAAGGAAGGAGGAGATTGCCCTTGGCCTCGAAGAACATACCCCCACACGGAGCGAATCGAATGACATGTGTGGCCGAGTCCGAAACCCTGACCCAATGAAGCTCATGATTGCTCCCAGCTCCTCCTCCGTCCCACCTCCTCCTCTTCTTCCTCCTCCTCCACGTCCTCCTCCCGCTCCTCCTCGATTCCCTTTCCTTATGAACAACGCTTCCCTGTCGCACCCCGAGGCCAATCGGAAGGGCGGGGACGTTTCGCCCCGCACTTCATCACCAGTGGTGAGCCTCCGGCTCGGAAGCCGACAGCAGCTTCGCATGTGGAGGGCGGGTGGCTGTCGCTGTGTGGCTCCTGCCTTAGCGCCCCCCTTGTCTACTCGTCGTGTAAGCACATTTGCGGGAGCGTCACGGACTGAGGGCGGGTGGTTTGCAGAACGTGGGTCCCCCTGAGCGCAGCGCATATTCGTTCTCAAAAACTGCAGAACCTTGACGGATTGAGGACGGGCCGTTTTCACAATGTGGTGTTCGCCTTGGCGACGCGCACATTCTCTTACAAATGCACGAAAGCTTCACGAATTGAGGGCGGGTGGCTTTCAAATTGTCGGCAAATTCGCGAGAGCGCCACGGGTTGAGGGCAGCTCACTTTCAAAGTGCGGCTCTCGCCGTAGCGCCGCGCACACTCATCTCAAACGGTTGCGACAGTTCCAATGGTTCGCATAGCTAACGCACCAGAAACGGCGTTGCGGAACGATTCAGGGTTGTCAGGGCGCGACAGTTACGTTGATATGCAGTGCTGCGGTCCCAGGAAGGGCGTCCTGGCACGATTCAGGATCGTCAACACGCGACAGCCAGATTGACTCGTGGCCTTGAAGCCTGAGAATGGTGTTTTCGCACGCGTCCGGATGTTCACACGGTTGTCCCCAGACGGGGCATCTCCCTCAGCAGCAATGAACCTTAAAAAATATCGTTGATGGGTCTTGGGTTGGCACTGGTCCTTCTCCTCCGCCTCCTCCTCCTCTTCCGCCTCCGCCTCCTGCATCGACTCCTCCCCCTTCACCATTCCCTCCTTTTCCTTTTCCTTCTCGTCCTCATCTTCCTCCTCCTCCTCCTCTTCCCGCTCGTCCTCCTCCTCCTCCTCCTCCTCCTCCGCCTCCTCCTCCTCTTCCTCCTCCTCTTCCTCCTCCTTCTCCTGATCTTGGTGGCCTGAGGGTTCGTCGAACGCGCCCCCCCCCGTCCCCCCGCCCCAGCCCCCCACCCCCTCAGGGGGCGTCGCCTCTGGGAGAATTCATCAAAATAATAGTTTGTGGGACACTAAGAACAGGAACGCGGCCGTCAGACCCCCACAGGGGCGGGGTCTCGAGCTCCCCCTACACGCTGGGGGGGGAGAAGAAGAAGAAGAAGAAGATGAAGATGAAGAAGAATGTGAAGATACCACGAATACTACAAAAAACATTAATAAGACTAATAATGCTAATAGTCATAGTAATAATAGCCATTACAACAATCATAACAATGTAAATGAAAATAAGAATAATGATTCTGATAATGTCAATGGTAATCATAACTATACTACGAACAGTGTTGATGATGATGATGGTGGTGCGAGTCAGAATGATTATAGTAACAGTTGTACTACTGATAACTATAGCAACGAAAAGCGCGTAACACTGATAATAGCACGAATGCTGATACGAAAACTAATACTACACAATCACACACACACAACATCAGATTAATGTAATAGTAAGTATAGCAACCACAATGACAATACTAAACACAGTAATCATGAAATATAATAATTAACCAGAATCGCGAACGTAATAACAATGGTAATACTGATACTAATGATACATGTCATCATAGCTAAGATCCTCACCCGCCGAAGCAGGCGCAGGGTGCCCGAGTGCAGAACCGGTGGCTGCCTGGGGAGGGTTTCACCGGGCGTGGAGAAGGTTCGTGCTCTCCTGGCGGTGGCCTGGCGGGTGTTGTTCGCCCCTCCACACACACACACACTCCCCCCACACCACACCACCATGGAATCTCACCCCGTCTGGAAGTAGGTTGGCGTGGCCTTGCGCCGAGGCCGAGCGACAGAAATAGCGACAGTTGAGGCCGGGCTGGAAGTTAGAGACGGATAAGGCTGGCCTACCGCGGCAGCAGCGGCAGAGCTGCGGATTGGAACGGTTAGGATTGAAACTGAACGCAAGCCAAGGGTTTACAGTGCAAGTTTGGCGCGCGCATGCGAAAGCTTAGCTCAAAACTGACAGAGGGGGCCACGGTGTATCGAGGACAGTACGTGTACCGAGGTCCGAGGTGCCTCGTGCGACGAGGTTGTGGCTGCCGGTATTTGAAGTGAGGCTAAACTGCGAGAAAAGGAAAGCCTACGGAGACGGCAAGCCCAGGAGGTTGTGGGGGAGCACTGCGTTGGTTGTCTGAGGCGGTGCAGCGACCGCGGCCACCCTGGCCATCGCCATAGTGGCCAGCGGCGGTTCTCTCCCCCTCCCCCCCGCATATAATCCCACCCCCTCCGCTGGGTGGCGATCGCCGCGTGGCTGACGAGCGAAACGCAGGGTGGTGAGTGAGAACGGGGCTGATGTCGAGGGGGAGAGAGAGAGAGAGAGAGAGAGAGAGAGAGAGAGAGGCAGAACAAAAAAAGGCTACACTGGGTGCGACGTGAAGCCAGAGAACGGCTCAGCAGGCGGTGTCTGTGCGCCGCGGCCGTCGTGTCCATTGCCAGAACGGCCGACTGCGAGGTCCATTTGGTCCCCCCCCCGAGAATCACCACAGCCGCCCACCCCGCCCCAAAGAAGTAATAAAGGTATACTGTAGGTTGGATGGGGGGGCGGGCAGGCGAAGCGTGAAATAAGCGGGCAGCCAGTAGGGAGTGGGAGGTCGAGCAGGAACTCTCCAGGGCCTAACTGATTGCGGGCCCTTCGTGTCGCAAGCCTCCGAAGCCCCACGACGGCGGGATTGAGGTGACACCGAAGAGGCGCGCGAGAGGTCTCCATCAATTTGGGGTGATCCTGAACATTGTGGAAGAGAAAATTGTGCCGGGCATTGGAGCCCTGTGCTTCCGCAAACCCACAAGCATGCGTCGGATGATGCGCGTCCACGACAGAATCGCGCCGGTAGATTAGCACACGTGGGTGGGAACGCCACGGCGGGTTTACTACCGTGGACCCATTGCATGGCATAGCCTGTTGTAGCTGCAGCCGCCAAAGTGGTGCATCGTGGCGCGGCGATGAATCGTCTGCGGGTGAGAAAATCAGGGCGGGCACTGAAGCCCTGTCTCACCGTGGACCCACTGTCTTCGCGCCTCTTGAGGTGGTCGCAGCCGCCGTTGATTGTGCTACTGTCGCCTGGGACGGAAGGTGTGAGGTGCTGTCGCGGAGGCGGTAGGTGGTGCCGCAATAGTTCGAAGGTAAGATAGAGCGGGCACTGGGACGGGCGCCGTGTTATCACCGATCACGCGGACAGCGCGCGCGCTCGCTGTGGGGTTCTCCGCTTCCAGTGCCAGTGCGGCTCCCCTGTGCTTGCGTCGGTTGCGGTCGCTGGTTGTGCTGATCGGGGCATCCGTTTCAGCCTTGATGTAGCCCATGTTGTCGTAGCTGGGGTAGTGTTCCTCCTCGTCCTCGTCCTGGACGGACGCGGTACCAGAGCGCAGTATTGGGGACATCGTGCCAAATAGTCAGACATCGCTGCTGGGCGTATGGTTGCCCGTTATCATGGTTTGGGTTGCAGGGGGTCGTGGCAGTGGCAGATCCTCCAGCAGGTATATAGGGAAGCTGTAATGTCCCACCAGGAATTGCCGTAGATGCGTTGATCGTCCTGCTGTCCATCGCGAGTACCAGTCCACGCGTGAGAAAGTCGGCGGTCGGCAGCATGTCGTGGCTGCTGTGGCTGATTGTCATGGTGGTGGGTCTGCACTGGTGATTGTGGTCCGCTTGGCGTTGCGTTGGCGCATCATGGCAAGAGCGGCCTGTCGCGTTACCTTGGGGGCTGGGGCCGTTCGCGGGGCCTGGTGGTAGGTCCTGGTCGTCGGGTTCTTGGTCCGTCGGTTTTGCTGTGGCGTCGGTTGGGCCGTTGGCATCCTGGTATAGAAGTAGGTTAGTCATTCAGTGGATCGTGTCCGTGGCAATGTCAGTAGATCATATCCTCCTCCCTATCTGACGACAGCGACGACGACGACGACAACAACGATTCGCCCACTACCTGGCAGCGCACGCGCGCGGGCAGCGCGTCCTCCTCGTCTGCTCCCTGGGCCCGCCGTACTTCTCGAGCTCGACGGGGGCCAGCCGCAGGAAGCGTCCCAGCTGCTCTCGACCGCACGAGACGCGTGCTGAAAGCTTTGCCCTCGGCCACCGAGGCTCCAGAAAGGGAGAGGGGGCCCGGCACGCCTTCGGCAAGTCGTGTACAGCGCTCAGGGTCACTTCGTTTGGGAGGTCCCGAGCGGAGTGAACCCCCACCCGCCCCTCAGAAATCGTGAGGGTGGGGGTCGGGCTCACATGTGGCTACTGACCCAGAGGCCTCCTGGGATCGGGCGTTGGCAGGACTGGGTTTAGTGGGACCTGGTTTAATGATGTGTACTGGGGGGCGCCCCCCCGCCCCATTCGACTAACCGGAACTGCCGTCGCCCGAAAAATCACCAGCTACGGCAGACCTGGTTTAGTGATTCTGGCCAATTTAGGGGCTCCGGGGCCCTACTACTGACCGGGTCCCCTTACCTGGGGGTCCCTGCTATACCCGATGGGACTCCCCTGGACGTCTGGGGGCCGATCCCAGCTGCTCTCCATGGCTCCCGGGGGGTGCACCCGGAGGGCCCTTTACGGCGGCGGGAGCCGGAGAGGCCCCGCTTTCGGGCGTCGGCGGGCCCGTGGCTGGCTCGGGGTGTGCTCATCTCTGATATGAGCAGCTACATTCAGGCGGTTTCGGAAACCCTGAACCCAAAAACGTTTTCATCTCTTGGGGGCGCAGCTTCTACTTCCGCCGCCTTCCGCTGGCCTTCCGCCGGCTTCCGCCAGCGGAGGCGGCTTCGCCTTACTTCCGCCGACCTTCAGCCACCTTCCGCCGCGGAAGAGATGGCAACTCCTTCGATCTTCGAAGGCGAGGCCCTTTTTGGAACGCTTCATTGGTTTTTCCACGACAAGAACCAGGAATTGTAAATCGAGAAGTCCGCTGCCCTTCAGGGGATCTATCCCCAAAGCGCGATGCACGGACAAGCGAGCATAACGAAACACGTGCATTGCAAGTCGTACAGGCAATCCGTATCATAAGGATGCGCTGTAAGGATGCAAGGGCCATGAAGACCCATGCTAACGTTTGTCGAACGAGGTTGGCCAGCGAAAGTCGCCAAGGATGGGCCGAAGGGGCAGGGATGCAAGGGTACCCTTGGGAAGGTTGCCCATCCTTCTCATGCGGGTCGACTCTATCAAAACATCGCATGTAGCTGGCTCATTTCTACCTCTGTGCTTCTGTTTGCCTCACATGCCGCACAATCGGTCCACTCCCACCGTGTGCACCCACCTCCTCGCGGGGCAACTCGCACGCCACCGCCCGCCCCCCGCACATGCCCGCACGGGCCCAGACCGGAGCCACACACCGAAGAGCGCCGTGCCCGGAACCGTGCCTGTGAATCGAGCCGTGCACGCCCCTCCCCCTCCTTAGACCCCCGACGTCGTGATTCTTTTACAGCGTCGACCCCCAGAGCTCTGGACCCCTTCCCCAGGACCGGTTTTTCATCCTGAGCCGTTTTGGTTACAATCCCGAGGCCCCGCAAGTGCCTCCGAAGGCCGAAAATAGCGAAAAACCTCCCGCCGTGATTTTTCCATAGCGCGAGGGCGTCTGGGTCATCCTCCTCCCCATCCTCCCCAAGGAGCCCTGTGGGTGCCCCCCCACCTCGTCCACTGCCCGTTGCAAGTAGCCGGGTGGCTCGACCAAATCCGCCGACCTCGTCGGCCCGTAGTCCCCTTTCCCTGCGCGCCCCCCCCTTCCCTGGACCCGTCGCCGCTCCCTCCCCTTTCCCTGGGTCCTCCTCCTCCTCCTCCTCCTCCTCCTCCTCCTCCTCCTCCTCCTCCTCCTCCTCCTCAAGCGCGCTAGCCAAAGCGAAATTGAGCAAAGTCGCAATTGAGTCGAAGTCCCGTGTCCAGTTCCTGGGTCCGGTTCCTGTCCCGGGTTCAGTCCCGGGTCCCGTTGAGTCGCAATTGAGCGGGTCCAGTCCCGGGTCCGGTTCCCGGGGCGGGGTCCCGGGTCAGATACGACTCGTCCCCGGGGAGGTGGGGCCCAAGAAAGCCCCAAGAGGCCCCCAAGACGGTCCAAGAGGGCCCCGAAGCGCCGAACGATCTGTCCAAGACGCCTTGACGGCCTCCAGACGGCCCAAGAATCCTGCAAGACGCCCCAAAAGGCCTCCAGGAGCACTCCCAAAAGCGCCCCAAGAGGAAAAAATATTGATTTCCCATCGGTTCCTGAAGCATTTCGGCGTTATCGCCTCTTCCGCTTCCCGACGCTCCCAGATGGCCCAAGAGGCCCCCCAGATCGCCCCAAGACGGCCCAAGAGGCCTCTGGGAGGGACCCGAAACGGCCCAAGACGGCCCAAGAGGGCCCAGGACGCCTCCAAGACGGCTCAACAGGCCCCCAAGACGGCTCCAAGATGGTGCCCAGACGAGGGACCAGAACGGACATTTCGAGCCCTCGGCCCCGAGAGGCTCCCAGGAGGAACCAAGAGGCCCCCGAGAGGCCCCGAAAGCGCCGCAAGAGGCACCCAAAAGGCACCCAGGAAGCCCCAAGACGCTCCCAGGAGGCTCCCAAGAGGCCCCCAAGAGGCTCCCAAGAGGCCCCTACATTGTCCCCCAGAGGCCCCCGAGAGCGCTTCGAAGAGACCCCAAGAAGCACCCCTGAGGACTCTGACCCGCGTCGGCGTCGTCGTCGTCGCCGCCGCCGCCGCCGCCGGGTCAGACGCAACGGCCTCCCTGCGGCGACCGCGAGCCCTCGCGGCAAGGTTTACAGCGAGCGCGCGCACATGCTTAGCACTTCAAGGCTCGCAGTAGGTCGGGCATGTCCTCCTAAAGGCAGATTTGGGGCAAAAAATAAAAATGCCCCGAAAATGTTCAAAAGTAGAAGAGAGTCTTCAAAGATCGTCCCCTGACTATTTCTGGACTTTTTTGGAATATTCCTCCTGTAGAGGGACATGCCCCACTTAAAGCTCGCACCCCCTCCCCTTTCAAACCAGCTTCAGGAGTTCAGAGGGAGCGTGCCACACGAAACGTACAGGCTTCCCAGGCTGCCTGTCTGCCAGAACGGCCGCGCGTCTGCCAGATTGGCAATCGACTTCCGAATTGCGTCTACCTTCTCCTCCTCCTCCTCCTCCTCCTCCTCCTCCTCGTCCTCGTCCTCGTCATCGTCCTCCTCCTCCTCCTCCTCCTCCTCCTCCGCCTCCTCCTCCTCCGCCTCCTCCTCCTCCTCCTCCTCCGCCTCCTCCTCCTAATCCTACCATGACCATTACATTACTGTCCCTTTGATGGTAAAGCCTCATCGTATTAGTACTATCACGATTAACGCAGATTTGCCATCAGCATCGAAATACTACTATTCACTTTGTTACACCATGTAAGAGAGAGCGCGTTTGACGGGTGCTTGCCTTAGGAACATTCGGCGACGCGTTTCGAACCCGGGGGTGGCCCCCCCCCCCAACACTCGGCGCCGTCGATCAGAACCAGGGTGACTCCCCTCCCCCCACCCAACCCACCCCCCCCTCCCGAACCTCCCCCCCCCCTCCCAGAGGGGGGGGGGGGTTCAAACCCACCCACCCACCCCGGGGCGCCGGCGCCGGCGCCGGCGCTGGCGGCCGTCGCAGCGCCAACGCAGCGACGATGACCAGGGAGGGCTCAGGGAACACACGAATCGCAATATCGAGCCCTCGCATGCTCCTCAGACGCCCCCGAGAATCTTCTGACGAGACCTCAAGAGGCATCCAATAGAACTCTGACCACAAGCCAGAACACAGTGGCGGGAAGAGCCGAAGGCCACACCACCACAACCACCACCACCACCACCACAGACCACCATACCACCGCCACCACCACCACCACCACCAACGCCACCACCACAACCACCACCACAGCCACCACAACCCTCCATCACCACAACCACCACCATCACCACAAACCACCTCACCACCACCACCACCACCACCACCACCACCAAAAACGCCACCACCACCACCAGCACCCACCACCACCAACTACAACCACCACCACCCACCACAAACCACCACACCATTACTACCACCATCACCACCGCCGCCACCACCACCACCATCACCACAATCCACCACCAACACCACCACCACAAACCACCACACCACCACCACCACAACCACCACCACCACAACCACCACCCACCACCACCCACCGCCCACCACCACCACCAGCACCACTACCAGCAGCAGCACCACCACCAACACCATAGCCCACCACCACCACCACCACAAACCACCACGCCACCACCACCACCACCGCCACCACCACGACCACCACCATCACCACCTCAACCCACAACCACCACCACCAAACCACCCCACAACCATTACCACCACAGCCACCCACCACCACCACCACCACAACAGCTCACCACCGCCACCGCCACCACCACCAATGCAACAACCCACCACCACTACCACCACCACCACCACCACAATCTACCACACCACCACCACCACCACCGCCGCAACCACCACCACTACTACCAGCAGCACAACCCACCACCACCACCACCACAACCACCACAAACCAACTCACCACCACCACCACCACCACCACCGCTCAGCACCAGCACCCCCGCCGCCGCCGCCAGCCGCCGCTGACGCCGGCGCCGGCCCGAGGAGAGGGAGAGAGGAGAAGTAGGGGAGGGTGGGGGGGGGGCTCGAAACCCCTCCCCCCCTCCATCCAGGGGTGGGTGGGTCCGGTTCCAAAGCCCCCCCCCAAGCGACCACAGAACGCGCTCTTTCCCATGTAAGTTCATCATCCTGGCCCAGTTCCTCTTCATCCTCCCCCTCCCCGTCCTCGACGAACGTGTCTCGGCGACTTGGACATTCGACGGCGTCCTGGCTGCTGGGACGCTGCCCGGGCTGGCGAGATGGGTGGCAGAAGCTTCTTCAGGGTCTCGTCGTCGACCTTCAGAGTGCCGGGCATGTCGGGGGTAGCCCGCGGGGGCGAAGAGGGAGGAGGAAAGGGAGCTGACGCTGCAGAGGGGAAAAGGAGGAGGGTCGACGAGGACTACGACGACGACGACGACGACGACGACGACGACGACGACGACGACGACGACGACGACGACGACGACGACTACGAACACCACGACGATCGCGACGACCATGACCTCTGGGCATCACGACGGCCGAATTGTTCATCGATTTCACACTCCTGGGCACGTGTCCCGCAACAAGGACCTCAGAAAACAGCCCAGGAAAAAAAATGGTCCTGGAGACGGGGTTGAGGGCGCCGCGAGCCCGCATCACAAAAACAAACAAAACACGACGTCGGAGGTCGGGGGAAGACAACGACGATGGCACGGGGTACGGAGTTGGAGAAGGCAGAGGAAGGAGGAAGGAAGACTGGAGCGGGAGGAAGGAGTGGGACGCAGGAGATGGCACAGGAAGGCAGGAGCGAGTGAAGGCGGACGGGGACGAGGCGACGCTGTGCGGGGAGGAGAACGAGGAGAGGCCGAGGAGGTGAGGAGGCAAAAGAGGGAAGGCAGAGGAGGCTCAGGGGAAGGGCCGAAGAAGGAAGGCCGACGACGGAGAACGGAGGACAGATGATGGAGAGCGAACGATGGACGACGGAGGATGGAAAATTGGTGCTCCGAAGACAGCGACAAGGAGGCGCCAGATGGATCAAGGAGGGCGACGGTGGAACAGGGAGAGACAGAGAGAGAGAGAGACGGGGGGAGCGAGGAGAGAGATGGAAGAGAGGAGAGGGTGGCGATGCATCGCCGATGCACCGGCGATGCATCGGCGCCTTCGGCGTGCAGGCGCACCGCAGACAGAAACCATACACCAACGGCTTGGAGCTACAAAAGAGCTACCTTAAGTCGGGCATGTCCTCCTACAGGCCCCACAGGCAGATTTTCGACGAAAAGTTAAAATTTCTATAATAAAAGAAAATAAGAAGAAGAACAAAAAAAACAATACAACAAATACTCCAACAAAAAAATACCCAGACTATGTTTGACGATTTGTTTTGAACATTCCTTTTGTAGGAGGACAAACCCGACTTAAAACTACCCTGGGGGAGGGATCGGGCACTGCGTGAGGAAAGGCTGGACCGAAGGGCCGATCCACACCGGAGTATCCGGAGCATCCGTCGGCAAAGACGGCAACGATGAATGACGATGATGAAGGTTTTACCCTTCTCCACCGTCCAACAGTCAGTGGCGGTGACGAGGAATGAAGGACGATGAGTGGTCCCCTGAACAGCAGTCCTTGTGTCTCCTATCCTTTACTCTGCCCGCTGCCCCTTTCGGCTCCCAAGCAGTCCTGGGGCCAGGCAGAACACGTCGGAGATCTGGGCTTCAGCTCCAGTGTGAGTCTGGGTTCTGCGGCATCGTCCACGGCAGCAGCGGTTGGGAGGGACGGCCAGCGCTCCCCTGGGAGCGCGGCTTCCGCACACCGCCCCCTCGCAAACGAGCTGGTCCGGCAGAAGAGCGTGGAGAGGGGCTTGTGTACAACATTGGCATCCCCTGGGGGCACGACCTCTGCACGACACGCCCTCGAAGAAGCCGATCCGGCACAAGGTACACGCGCGGGGGCGGGGGCCATAAATCGCCCCCCGATCCCACTTCCCAGTTTCCCTGCGGCGCCATGTCCTCCTGTCCCCGTTATGCTTAGGTCGGGCATGTCCTTCTACAGGCGGATTCTGGAAGGAAAAAGAAATCCGGAAATGCTAACAGATACCCAAAAGAGCACGACAAATTGTCCCCAGGCGATCGGCAACTCTTCCTGAGTTCTCCCCCTGTAGAGGGACGTGCCCGACGCAACGCCGTGCACGGGGCGTGCGTGCTCTTGCGTGGCCCGCTCGCACCCCCCCTGCGAGAGAGGCCTCCGCGGCTCGCTGGCAGGCACAAGGGGGGGCACTGGCACTGGCCATCGCTCGGACGTCCATTCCCTGTGTTTTTTGTTTGGTTTCGTGCGTGGCTTTTTCGCCAAATGATCAAGGATGCTCCTCGATGGTCCTCGCCGAAGGAAACATGCACACGTCCGAGCGATGCCAAGGGCAGTGCGGCACGCACCTTGGCTGAGTGCAGGTGGCGCGAGGAAGAGGCAGGCGGAGGACGTGCGGGGGAGCGCGAGGAGCCAGGAGGCGGGGGGACGGACGCCGGACAGCAGGAGCCAGGAGGGAAGCAAGGCACGAGAGAAGGCACCACGGAGGGGGCAGGAGGCATGGACGCGAGGGGGTGGCAAAAGACGGCACGGGACAGCGTTGAGGCTGGCGCGGCGAGAGGACGCAGAGCAGGAGGGCAAGCGACCTCCTCTGGCAGCTGGGCAAGCGCCCGACCAGCTCGAGCGCCTGCCCGGCCCCTGTACTGACGCTGCCGTGCGCATGCCATGCGGAGATGGCACGAAGTGTGTCTCGCTGGCACTGCTACCTGCATACAAACGGTGGCTTCGGAAGGCGGATCTCGTCAATGGTCGTCGTACTGCCCCCCTCCACGTTTGGTGCCTTCAGGCAGGGTGCCCGCATAGAAAGTCGCAGGGTCCCAACGGTGTTTCAAAAACACCGCCGCCCCCCCTTAGGCCGAAGAGCAATCCACTGGGGGGGGGTCACGTACAGTTCCCCACCATCATCATGTGGCGTTGGGTCGTCGTTTTGAAAAGACAGCGCCCCGCGTCCTTCCCACTCCCGTTGCCCCCTACCCCTCCCCCCTCCCAGCACCATAAGGAGCTCCACCCAAGGCCCTAGCGGCACAGACCGCGTGGTTTACCCGCACACGATTCGGCACACCCCTCACACGCTTCATGGCCCCGCAGGGAGCACCATCGAAGGCCCCAGCGGCAGAGTCCGCATGGCGCACCCGCACCCAATTCGGCATACAGCTCACACGCTTCGTGGCCCCATAGGGAGCCCCACCGAAGGCCCCAGCAACACAGTCCGCACGGCGCGCCCGCACCCGATTAGGCAAACCCCTCACGCGCTCCGCGGCCCCATCAGGAGCTCTTCCGGAGGCCCCAATGGCACAGTCCGCATGGCGCGCCCGCACCCGATGCGGCACACCTCTCACACGCTTCGCGGCCCCATAGAGAACTCCACCGAGGGCCCCAGTGGCACGGTCCGCCCGGCGCGCCCGCACCCGATTCTGCACGCCCTTCAAACGTTGCGTGGCCCCAAACGCGCGGAAGGGACGAAGGCGCTTGAGAGCCCACGGGCACGCGCCCACCCCCGGGGGGACAGAGCCCGCTCTAGGAGCCGGGATGCCCCCCAGAGGCGCGCGCGCGCCGTGAAGGCAGCACACAGCGAGGTCAGTGGTAGAGAGATGTAGGCGTCGCCACCGCCATGGCCCGCAACATGTTCACACACACACACACACTTGCGACACAAGGTGACGGAAACACACAGAAGATGACAGGCCCCCGGAGGGGCGAGAGGAACAAGCAACATCGCAAAATCAACAAAAAAACAAAGAAAGGCGCGCGCGAAGAAGCGTCAAAATGTGCACCTGCGGACGCCTTTTGGAATTGGGAATGGCTGTCGCTGGCCAGCTCACGCTGGAGAAAAACAGGACGCACACCTCACGACAACGGCCGAGAAATACAGCAGGACTGCAAGACCGCACAAAAAAAACACGTCGACGCGCACCTGCGGGGAGGCGGAACTCCCGCCATTCGACCAGAGGGGCGCAAGCGCGGGCTGCGTAGCGGGATCAACGCAAACGACGCGAGCTCGACGACTCGGGCCCTCAAGGCCGAGCCGCCCTGAGCGGGAGCTGGGGCGCCGAATGCACCGCCCCCCCCCCCCCCCCGACGCGAGGCGACATGGGGAACTAACGCCACCACCCCAAAACGGGCTGCGTTTTCGCGACGAGGGAGGCATGGCCTTCGCCCAAGACGGGCTGCTCTCCACGACTAGGGCCGCGCCGACCCCGCCCAAAATGGAGGGGAAGAGGGCTGGGCCATGGCCGCCTCGAGCATGTCTTTGTATACCCCGCGGCAAGAGGCGCCCGTCTGCAGGGTTGCGACCCCCCAGCAGAGGTCCCTCAACTGTCTCGGGACAAGGGGGGGAGGGGGGGAAGGGCCCAAGGGTACGCACCCGATTAGAGACATCCGCTGAAGAACCAGGAGAACAACCTGACTTCTGGACACCGCACAGCCCCGAGCCTCAGCTCGAGCCTGAAGCGCGGGCCTCAGCCCTGAGGCCGATTTCGAGCCTGGAGCCCGAGCGAGACTCAGCTACAACGGGGAAAAGCGGCTCGGCCCGAGGGACCCACGATAGGCGCGCACAGCACCATCTGCTACCATGCCCAGGGCATTTGGCGCGGGACAAGATGCCTGCGGGCTGCCTGACGCGGTTCCTGTAGCTCTCTGAGGGGGACCCCCCTCCTCGTCACACGACCCCGAAAGAAACGACCATCGTCCACGCAAAAGTCATGACGAGTGCTCATGGCTCCCGCCCAGGATGGGCTGCTCTTCGCGATCAGGGGCACCTGCACCTATACGCACCAGAAAATACAGGCGGAGACGATGGCAGCGGCCGGAATCTGCCAGGACCTCGGATTTGCACGCAGGGGCCGCGGCCTCACCTGCTCGCCGACGCAGCCTGCTTGCAAACCATGGGCAATGTCTGACGATGCCGCTCCAAAATAAACGCGGGGAGGGGTGAAGACACGCACACACAGAAGCGCACAGGGGAAGGGAGACAAGTGCAGGCAGCATCTTCAGTCGGATGGATACATGGAGTGAGGAAAAATAGCAGCGGATGGAAAGAGCAAGCGAAAGAAGAGTGGATGAGTAAAGAACAAATTAAAGAATTCCGACACTGGGGCAGAATCGAAATATCTCTTCCGTGCTGCAAACATTGTAAAATAGGCGTGTTGGCAAACGTGGGTGCTGCCACCGACTCAGGACGTGGACCTGCCCGCGTATGGAAATTCCCAGATTTTGCTTCCAACCGAGACTGTCAACGACGGCTACATGGCCCAGAAGGCAAAGCAAGAACGGCTGATAACCTGTGGAAGGGATGAGTGTACCTGACAGCCTATCTGCATGTGCCCACCCCCTGGGGGGAAACAGCCCGCGCTAGGAGCCGGGATGCCCCCCAGAGACGCGTGCGCCTTGAGGGCAGCGGACAGTGTGGTTAGAGGTAGAGAGGGATGTAACTCTCGCCACCGACATGGCCTGCAACACCTTCACAATAGGGAGCTGCACCGAAGGCCCCAGAGGCACAGTCTGCATGGCGAACCCGCGACCGACTCGGCACAGCACCCACACGTTTCGCGCCCCCATACAGGAGCTCCACCGGAGCCCCCAGCGGCACAGTCCGCCCAGCGAACCCGCACACGATTCGGCACACGCACACACACACACACACGCACACACACACACACACACCTCACACGGTTCGTGGCCCCATAGGGAGCCCCACCGAAGGCCCCAGCGGCACACACTCCGCAGGGCGCGCCCTCACCCGACTCGGCACACCCCTCACGCGCTTCGTGGCCCCATAGGGAGCTCCACCGAAGGCCCCAGCGGCACGGTCCGCATGGCGCGCCCGCGCCCGACTCGGCACACCCATCACACGCTTCGTGGCCCCGTGGGGAGCTCCACCGAAGGCCCCAGCGGCACAGTCCACACGACGTACCCGCACCCGATCTGGCACACCCCTGACACGCTACGCTTCGTGGCCCCACTGGGAGCTCCACCGAAAACGACTCTCACGACCATGGCACTCTGCGAATGGCTGGGCCCTCCTCTGGGATATCTGCTGTGTGGCGGATAGCCGAAAAGATGCTCAGGAAACTCGTCACTTAAGAAATCTGGGCCAGTTTCCTATCAGCTTCGTCAGGCCAGCCTGGGCCAATTCCTGCTGCTGACGCTGTAGGGGCAAACGCGCTCAGGAAACTGGGCCAGCTTCCCGGGCACACTGGTCGAGCAACGCCGGCCCAGCTCTTCGGGAGGAGACTCCTGGATCAGCTTCTCGACTGCATGGCTGGGTGCTCCTCCAGGGCATCGTCGCACCTGCTCCCCGCAGCTGTCGCACCTCGTCGAAAGCTCGAACATGAAGGGGCCCACAAGCACACAAATAAATACACACACGCACAAGTAACATAAATCCCCATATCTTCCCATGTTTGCTGGGTTCCTGTCTTCCCCCCCACTCCCCATAGTTTCCCACATGTCTTCCTGGGAGTCGACGATGAATTCTGTCTGTGGGTTTCCTTCCCTCCTGAGGACAGAATTGATGGAGGAGAGCCCGCCCTCCGCCCCGCCCTCCCCCCCCCCGCCGCCGCAGGCCGCCGCCGGGGACCTGGGAGCGGTCGCCCTCGCGACGGCGCCCGCCCGCCCGCACACCTGCCGTCGCTCGGACGCCCCTTTGCCCGCGCACGCTTCGGTGTTTCGCGCGTGCTTCTGTCTGCTCGATGGTCCAGGCTGGTCCTCGATGGCTCTCGCCGAAAAACAATATGCACGCGCCCGAGCGATGCCAGGCACACTGGGCCCGCTCGCACCGCTTGGCCCGGGCCGTCCCCCGATGGCTTTCGGGGCGTGCAGCCGAAAATGTGATCACAGAACTGAAGAGAAAAAGCCTGGGCCACGTTCCCGGAAGTTTCTTCCGGGAGAGGGAAACAATTAGTAAACACCCCCCCTGCCCCCCAAACTCAAAGGTGGCACGCGCGGGTGAGACTGCCGTCGAGGTGCAATTCATCAGACCCACCGCCAACTTTGAACATGGGGGGAGGGGGAGGCGTTCACAGATGAATGTGGCATGAGTGTTCGCTATTTTTTATCCGAGGCCTGTCACACAGACCAGGGCCACCTTCTGGTATTTACGGTGGAGGGGGAAACGTGCTAGAGAAACTGGGCCAGTTGTGTGGCAAGTTGGTGGAGAAACGCTGGCCCAGCTTTTAGGGGCGAGGTGTCCCAACCAGATGCTCGACTGTAGTTCGGGCCCCCGGCGGCCGTTCAAGGCGATCCAAGCACGCCCCAGAGGGTCTCGACGAGGCGCAGCTGCTGGAAGGCATTATGAGGCTGGAAGAGCCGCCGAGAGCCGATCGTTGCCCCTGATCCCCTCTAAACCGTTGCCATGGGGCGCGTTCTGGTAAGAATCTCATTGAGAATCCAGCCATGGAGACGAGGGATTCGGCTACACGCAACAATGAAACGAGAGTGACCTCGGCGCGTGGTTTTTGGGAGCCGCGAGGGGACCAAACCCGAGCGCGCAAGACGCTGCTATCGCATCACGCTCGGCGATTGGGAGACCCCTATCGGGCCCGCACCGAAGGTCACTCCGGCGACGGGTCACTTTCGCGCGTAGTCGAGGGATCTCCAGGACGAGCTGCAACATCGGCAGATGAAATTCTGCAATCAAAATAAACTGTTGGTGCTCCGCGCTGATTTCTTGGATCTGCGCTGGGCCCCTCTCCCTGGCGCGCGGAGCGCGCCAGGGGCGGCGCTGGAGGCGCCGCCGGGGGAGCCCAGCGCGGATCCAAGAAATCCGCGCGGAGCGCCAAAAGTTTGTGCTTAGGGGTTTCTGTTCTTCTTCGATGTTCCTCTCGACTTCCTCCCGCTCCTAAGGAGACCAAAAGGTACCGATACTAGGACCTCTCCTGGGGTGCGCTCTGACTAGAACTTCGAGGCGAATCCAACGGTGGCGACGAGGGCCTCCCAGGAGGCCCCAAGAAGGGGCAAACGGGGCGAGGGTAGCGGTAAGATCAGCTTGTGATTAGCAAACCCGAAAGGGGCGCGTGTGAAAAAAAACGGTTCCCCTGCTTGCGCTGGTGATTAGCGCAAGCGCCAGGCCGCCAGCTAGAAGCCGCCAGCGATTATGGATACCTTTCCCTCCACTGAGCTCCTCCCCGCGCCACCACGCGACGGCCCGCTATCCCCCCCCCTGGGAGCCGACGAGCGCCCCGGCGCCAGCCGCCGCCCGCGCCGGCCACGACCTCAGTGGCGCACCGCGGGCGCATAGTAGGGCGCGCGCGGGGGGGCGGGCACCGGAGCAGACAGCCCTGCGGGAAGGGGCGGAAGGGGGAGGGGGAGGAGGAGAGGGAGGAGGAGGAGGAGGAGGAGGAGGAGGAGGAGGACGAGGAGGAGGAGGATGAGGAGGAGAAGGAGGACGAGGAGGACGAGGAGGAAAAACACAAAGAATTTGCTACATTCCTGACACCCCTCACGCAGATCGGCGGGGTCAGGGTCCAAAAACACAAAGAATTTGCTACACTTCTGAAATTCGATGGCGCCCCTCACGCAGATCGGCAGGGTCAGGGTCCAAAAACACATGGGATTTGCTACATGTTTGAAATTCGGTGGCGCCCCTCAGGGTCCAAAAACACAAGGGATTTGCTACATGTTTGAAATTCGGTGGCGCCCCTCACGCAGATCGACAGGGTCAGAGTCCGAAAACATATGGGATTTGCCACATTTCTAAAATTCGGTGGCACCCCTCACGCAGATCGGCGGGGTCAGGGTCCAAAAACTCATGGGATTTGCCACATTTCTGGAATTCGGTGGCACCCCTCACGCAGATCGGCAGAATCAGGGTCCAAAAACACAGTGGATTTTCTACATTTTTGAAATTCGGCGGCACCCCTCACGCAGATCCGCAGGGTCAGGGTCCAAACACAAAGGGGATTTGTTACATTTCTG